CCATCATTTCCCAATAGCCCTGGCTCACTGGGGAGGTCCCAGATGACTGGAAGTTGCAAATGTCACGCTGATCCACAAAAAAGGCTGGAAGGAAACCCCAGGAAACTCCAGGCCTGTCAGCCTGACCTCAGTGCCTGGCAAGGTTACAGAGCAGATCATCCTGAGTGCAATCACACAGCACCTACAGGGAAGACAAGGGATCAGAGCCAGACAGCATGGGTTTAGGAGGGGCAGGTCCTGTCTGACCAACCTGATCTCCTTTTATGATCAGAGGACCCGCCTGGTGGATGAGGGGCAGGCTGTGGATGTGTCTGTCTGGACTCCAGCAAAGCCTTAGACACCATCTCCCATAATATACTCCTGGAAAAGCTGGCAGCCCATGGCTTGGACAAGGCACTCTGTGCTGGGTTAAGAGCTGCTGGATGGCTGGGCCTGGAGAGTGATGAGGAAAGGGGCTGCATCCAGTTGGGATCCAGTCACCAGGTGTGTCCCCAAGGGATCAGTCTCTTTTCCCAGGCAATCAGCAATAGGACAACAGGGCTCAGGCTTAAGCTCTGCCAGGGGAGCTTTAGGTTGGATATTAGAAAGAATTAGAAAGAAATAGAAGATCTTTACAGGGAGAGTGATCAGGCATTGGAATGGCCTGCCCAGAGAGGTGGTGGATTCACCATCCCTGGAGGCTTTTAAGACGAGGGTGGATGTGGCACTGAGTGCCATGATCTAGTCATCACAGTGGGGTGGGATCAAGGGTTGGACTTGATGATCTCAGAGGTCACTTCCAACTCAGTTAATTCTAAGATTCTATGTCACCTCAAAATTTCTATGAAGAGATAAAAGTACAAAAATAACAATTTGAAAAGGAAATAGTAGGGCTCTCATCTGGCTGTATTTTTCCTTCCTCAATCCCCCTTAGAAATCCTCATCTCGCAGTAATTCAATTCTACAATGCAGTTACCATGTTGAAATGGTTCGCCCTCTGCCCTCTGTCCTTCTGCAGGGAGGGGACAAGAAACTCAGGCCCCTGTGCTCACAGACACCTCCAGTGCTCATGGCACTGGGTCTCCTTACTGACCTTCAAGAGGAAGACAAGGTTGGTCTCACGTGTGCTCCAACACGGTCCCAGCAGCAGGAAGTAGGAGAAGGGACGTGGGAAAAGGGAGAGAGACAGTGACAGGACTTCAAGGGGGGAACTGTGGGGGAGCTTAGCTGGTTCTGGGCTCTCTGTAAACTGAGATAATGAAGATGGAACTTCTTACACCTGGCAGAGGGTTAACCACTGACAGTGGGGACTGTGACAGAGTGGGTTTCCTGTGAGGAGTGCTAACCTATTGTGTTAGGACATGTGGCTGTGTGTCCAATCATGAGTTGTTATGATAGTGGTAAACCAATGCTGTGTGTACATGTGTCCCCCAGAACTGTATAAAGGAAGACATACTGTTGCAATAAAAAAGCTGGTATCCTGAACCCATGTCACATCCCGCCTCGACCGTGACAGGGAACCTTAACAACTATCAGGCATTAGAGAACTCCCAGCACACACCATCTGCAGAGATGAGGGAGACAAGTGTGGCCATGACCACCTGCAGAGAACACTTCAGCATGGAGCTGTTTCAGGCTCAGGGATCACCAAAGCTGTTCCCCATGGCAGGGCTGTCCTTCTCCATCTCCTCTGAGGAGCTGTGCAGGACGAGCTCTCAGAGTGGTTTGCCTCTAGAGCAGCTTCGGTGTTCAGAGAGGTGGAAGTCTGCTTGGGAATGGCCCTGCTCACCTTGTTCCATCCCAGTCTCTGCTCTGAAGAGCTGAATATAACACTTACTGGATTCCAGCCCTTTCTGGAGATCTTCACACACAGCTTTCATTTCCTGCCAGAGCTGCTGAAGGGTCTCCTCCATCCCAGATCCCTGAGCCTTTGGGTTATTTCCCTCCTCTGCCATTTCTGTGAAAACAGACAGATATCAGGAGGACACTGACTCTGCCCCATGAAGGGGAGACCACCCATCTGGGACATGGAGATGGCTTTCTCTTCCAGCTTTTGTCTGTGGAAAGGAGATTCAGCACCACTGGGAGCCCTTAGAAACACGGGCTTGGAGCTCCTGTGCGGCTGGGGAGGAGTATTGACAGGAACCCCACTGCCCCCTCACTCCCCAACGGCCTGGCCATGGCTGAGAGCCCAGGCCATGCTGATTTCCAAGTGTTCCTGGAGGGAAGAACATTGCCCTGCCCCCATCCCAGCTGCAAAGAGCAGGGACAGACAAACAGCTGCCTTACAACCTGGGGACGATGGCATCCAGCAGAGCCCAGGCTGGGCTGGGCTGGGCTGGCAAAGCCACTGCCGGGGCAGCTCTGCACCCTGGGGGCCTGGGGGAGTGCATTGGGGTGGAAATACAACAAAGCACTGGCTGGAGGCCCTTGCAAGGGGGAATTTAGGGACAGATGGGATTATTTGACCTCCCTGTGCTGGGCCCTCATGCACAACAGGCCTCCGTATCTTCTTTGTGTTAGGCAGGGTTTCGTTTCCAGGTAGTGTGGGCAAGTCCTGGCACTCACCTGCACAGAAAGGCTTCTCCCTTTTGCCCCTGGAGAAAAGCCCAGGTTGAGATTCCTCCTTTAGTGGTCAAGGGAAGGAAAGAACATCCCAGAAGTGCTGTGTTACATCTGTCAGTCATTACCAATTGTGAGGGAGACCCTCTGCTAGAGCAGGACATGTCTCTGCTCAAAGAGGGACGTCCCTGTGACCAAACTCACCCCACCCCAAGAGCCAAAGCTCCACACCCTGGCTTTGTAACCATAACACTCAGGTTTCCTCCTCCAGGGGCAGACCAGCTCTCTGACACAAGGATGCCCAAAGGCTCTCATTTAAGCTCCCTCCCAGAGGGTCTCTTCTCAGGGCTCTCCTCTGGGTGTGTACTCTCTTTACTCCAGGGAGCACCATCTGGGTCTCAGCAGGCCCACAGTGGTGTCTGTGCCCCAGCTGGCTCCTTCCCCTTCCCAGCACCAGCTCCTGCAGGGAGAGCTGTTCTCCACGGGCCCCTCTGCTCACAGACACCTCCAGTGCTCATGGCACTGGGTCTCCTTGTTCATCTTCAAGAGGAAGACAAGGTTGGTCTCACATGTGCCCCAACACGGCCCAGCAGTGGGGAGTAGGAGAAGGGACGTGGGGAAAGGGAGAGAGATGGTGACAGGACTTCAAGGGGGGAACCTTAACAACTATCAGGCATTACAGAACTCCCAGCACACACCGTCTGCAGAGATGAGGGAGACAAGTGTGGCCAAGACCACCTGCAGAGAACACTTCAGCATGGAGCTGTTTCAGGGTCAGGGATCACCAAAGCTGTTCCCCATGGCAGGGCTGTCCTTCTCCATCTCCTCTGAGGAGCTGTGCAGGATGAGCTCTCAGAGTGGTTTGCCTGCAGAGCAGCTTTGGTGTTCACAGAGATGAAAGTCCTTGGGAATGGCCCTGCTCACCTTGTTCCATCCCAGTTTCTGCTCTGAGGAGCTGAAGGTTGTGCTCTTGGGACCACAGCCTCCCATGTAATTTGTATTCCAGACCTTGAATTCTTTGGTAAAGCTCCCGGAATTCCTCGGCCATCTTGGAGTCCTGGGCCCTTTCCATTTTCTCAATTTTCCTGTCTGTGAAGAAAGAACAATGATTCTGGCTCACTGACTGTGGTGGCTTTGCACAGTTACTGGTGGACTGAGATTCTAAACAAGTCACTCCCCTTTGGTTTCAACCTCTCCCTACTCCTATTCCAATAGTGAAGAGACATAATATAGTATGCCATCTCAGTATAATGAAGAGATAAAAGTACAAAAATAACAATTTGAAAGGGAAATAGCAGGCTCTTCTTTGGCTCTATTTTTCCTTCCTCACTCCCCCTTAGAAATACTCAGCTCGCAGGAATTCAACTCTACAATGCAGTTACCATGATGAAATGGTTTTCCCTTTGCCCTCTGTCCTTCAGCAGGGAGGGGACAAGAAACTCAGGCCAACAGTGGTGTCTGTGCCCCAGCTGGTTCCTTCCCCTTCCCAGCACCAGCTCCTGCAGGGAGAGCTGTTCTCCACGGGCCCCTGTGCTCACAGACACCTCCAGTGCTCATGGCACTGGGTCTCCTTGTTCATCTTCAAGAGGAAGACAAGGTTGGTCTCACATGTGCCCCAACAACGGCCCAGCAGTGGGGAGTAGGAGAAGGGACGTGGGGAAAGGGAGAGAGACGGTGACAGGACTTCAAGAGGGGAACCTTAACAACGATCAGGCATTACAGAACTCCCAGCACACACCGTCTGCAGAGATGAGGGAGACAAGTGTGGCCGTGACCACCTGCAGAGAACACTTCAGCATGGAGCTGTTTCAGGGTCAGGGATCACCAAAGCTGTTCCCCATGGCAGGGCTGTCCTTCTCCATCTCCTCTGAGGAGCTGTGCAGGACGAGCTCTCAGAGTGGTTTGCCTGCAGAGCAGCTTTGGCATTCAGAGAAGGAAGCTTGCTTGGCAATGGCCCTGC